TTAAGATCCCCCACGCACGTCCCCTCTGAGGTACCGGCGCGTTCACTCCGACTCCTGCAAGCTTTCGTGATATTACATACGCATGTGTAATTGGTGTCATGATTCTGATTCGTCTAGTTCTCACCCCTTGGAAGCATTTTGGAGAACTGTGGTCGCACGATGCTGTAGACTATGGCTCGTCGTCTGTACGCAACTACCGCAAGCAATGCTACGACGGTGTCTGGGAGGACTGCTACCGCGTCCTTGACAGTCTTTGCACGTGCATTGACATCTCTACCTGCCTCACGCTGTCACTCACTGAATGCCCGTTTTTCTGTCACAAATACAAGGAACCCCTCTACCTTTGCCACAGAGCCAAGCCTGCATGAGAACAAATCCCCATGCCAGGATGCCAGGCTTAAACTGGACACTGTCGGGAGAAATCTAGATTCTAGATGGTTCCGATGCGAAGACGAGGGACAGTCCACTCTCCGGTGCAGAACGCAGCAATCATCGCAGCAATGGCCCAGACCCCAAGCGAGATAGATAAGCTCGATCCATGTTCTCAGACTCTCCCGCGTTTCCTCCACAATCTCTTCTGGGGCCTCTTCTGATGCCTCGGTCTTGGTCCATCTATGTACTTTTGTTGAGCAGATAAGGTGATAATAAGACACTGATGCGACGGCGACAAAGGTACTCAGTATGCCATTAGTTTGCAGCTTTCTTTCATTGACATGCAGACATGCATGACTGAGGTTGGTTTTATCGCCTTTGAACCCATGCCTGAGAGTCTTGTTGCCGCCGCAGCCGATTCAGCCGATACTTTCGGCATCGCTAACGTGCTGCAGCTGCCGCTCTTGTCCTGTATTGAAATGTTTTGGACCATATTAGCAAACACCAGCACAATTTCACGCAGTATGGGGCACATTCCGGCAAAGTGTCCCTTCGTGTCAAGCGTTATGTTGCTGTATTTCGTTCTGGTTTCCTGTGGCTGCGAAACGGGTCATGAGGATGTACTGTCACGAAGAAAGAGAAGAGTATACTACTTACCACTACTACTACTACTACTACTACTACTACTACTACTACTACTACTACTACTACTACTACCACTACCACTACTACTACTACTCCTCCTCCTCCTCCTCCTGCTGCTGCTGCTGCTGCTGCTGCTGCTGCTACGACCACTACTACCACTACCACTACCACTACCACTACCACTACCACTACCACTACCACGACCACGACCACGACCACGACCACGACCACGACCACGACCACCACCACCACCACCACCACCACCACCACCACCAGTACCAGTACCAGTACCAGTACCAGTACCAGTACCAGTACGAGTACCAGTACCAGTCCCAGTCCCAGTGCCAGTGCCAGTGGCAGTGGCAGTGCCAGTGCCAGTGCCAGTGCCAGTGCCAGTGCTAGTGCTAGTGCTAGTGCCAGTGCCCTACAGCTACCACCACCACTACCACTACGACGACCACTGCTGCCACTAAGACGACGAGTACTGCGATTTCTTCCGGACGCACCAAGACCAGCAAGAAAGTAACTTCGGCAAACAAACTTCTTCTGTTTACTAGCTCGTTCAAAGCCCCACCAAGTGAGCTGCTGCCGGCGCCGCGGCTGACCTCGGTGAAGGGCCGAGGAGTTATGCAGAACCACTGCATGCGTGAAGCACAGCCACGCTAAGTTGGGAAGCTCATGGCTATATATATAATCCCGCCCTCACCTGATCAAGAAACTCCGCCCCGGTCAAATGAACAAGACTCTTCCAATTAAGACACGCCGACCACCGAAACTCCCGAGAACCAGCAAGCCGCTAGAGTGATGACGAATTGAAGCACTGCTCCTAAGACCACTCGGACACTGTCGGACGTCTCGCCAACAACACACACGCCGCAACAGAGCCCCATGAACCGCCAACAGAATCAATGGATTTGGCAGTAGGGGGAGGGTCTTGTAACTTACCTAACTTAGTCTAGAACCTGCTCTGAAATCCTAAAGCCCTAAACCCCCACAGCGCCAGGAGGTGTGAGATACGAAGGACGAAATGCCTCCGCGCTCGGTGAGGTGGAACAGCAAGGTTTGCCACTGATTGCAGTGGCATGTTGCTACCCATGAGAGAACAAGACTCTCCGAGAATAAAGGCTGCCGTCGTGATTCTGGTGGTTCATGCAGCGAATCGCTATCCTCCTCTTTGAGCAAAATCACATCGAAACTGCAGCCAAGCTGCTCTCCTCCGGTCTTCAGGTGGGCATACTCCGGCATGTTCTGCCAGCCCAGAGGCCTCAAGGCGGACGGATTCTAAGCGCTCACAGCGCTTGCGACTTCCGCGAGGGAAGCTGCAGAACTGGCAAAAGTACTTCGACGCGCAAGCTCGAAGGACTGAGACGGGCGACGTTGCAGAATCACGGCAAGCCTACTTCCGACTATATTTTTCTTTCCCGCCACGCAATGCTGCGACACGCTATGGACAGACGATTGCCACTACCGTCCGGAATGGAATGCAGGCAGTCATAGCGGGGCTCACCCTGGAAGCTGTCGGACCTGTGCTGCGCAACCACTCGCAGGGGAGTTGCGGACAGTGCGAGTGCTCTAGACACCAAATCCATGAACTTTCTGCTAACACAACTCGTGAGTTGACACGGGGGCAGGATACAATGCTTCAAATCTTCTGACGGCAGCATAACAGTTGTCATAACACCATCTCGCATGCGTTCTGTGAGCATATATAATAAAGTTCGGCAAGGTCCGTGACAGGCACCAACTCAGTCGAAATGTACGGACAACTGCACAGCAAGTACTACAGACCGTGGTGTCGAGGCAGTTCAGTTCCCTGGCCGACCGACGATAAGCCCTACCCGCTGCATCAAACACCCCCCAAAACCCTAAACCCTACACCCTGAAGGTTGAGCCATATTGGGACATGTCAGCAGGCAAGGTCGCAGCACTTTCCGCGCCTGGCTTCCTGTTTACAGGTCATCCAAGGAGGAGTGTGGGCTGTACAAAGAACTTCACAGAAGGTTCTTGGCTATTCTAAACATCTCTTCAGATGACGTCGTCCTGCAGCCAAAGTCAGGTCGAACCCGAACTCCAGCAGCAAAGACAAAACATGGGGCCAGGATCCGGTGCCTGGTGAGTTCTAAGAGTCAGCCGCACCTCTGGGCATATCCGCAAGCGGACTGGCTCTGATCTGACAAAAACATTGGCTGATGACTTCTTCTTTCGGGATGAGCTCTCTCTTGCCATGATCTTCTACTTCGTACTCGCCCTACACAGACAGTATTCATGGTCTTTGTTGGTGTCAGTCACCGTTGACGGATGTGATTGCCGTTCTCATTGGTTTGCGGGTTCTGCCTGCTCTGGAGTTCGTAGAGATGTTGGTGGCGGTAGTGCAGGCGGGTGAGGTGGCGGGTCGAAGTGGCAGAGGTGCTTGAGTCACTGAGTCTGTGTGTGTGGGGGTGTGTGCATGCGACTGGGATGTGAAAAGCGTGGGTGTGTGTGTGTGGGTGTGTGGGTGTGTGGGGGTGTGGGTGTGTGGGTGTGTGGGTGTGTGGGTGTGTGGGTGTGTGGGTGTGGGTGTGTGTGGGTGTGTGTGGGTGTGTGTGGGTGTGTGTGGGTGTGTGGGTGTGTGGGTGTGGGTGTGGGTGTGGGTGGGTGTGGGTGTGGGTGTGGGGGTGGGGGTGGGTGTGGGGTGTGGGTGTGTGGTGGGTGTGGGTGTGTGGTGTGTGTGTGTGTGTGTGTGGGTGGTGTGTGTGTGTGTGTGTGTGTGTGTGGGTGTGTGTGGGTGTGTGTGGGTGTGGTGTGGGTGTGTGTGGGTGTGTGTGGGTGGGTGTGGTGTGTGGTGGTGTGGGTGTGTGGGTGTGTGTGGGTGTGTGTGGGTGTGTGTGGGTGTGTGTGGGTGTGTGTGGGTGTGTGTGGGTGTGTGTGGGTGTGTGGGTGTGTGGGGGTGTGGGGGTGTGGGGGTGTGTGGGTGTGTGGGTGTGTGGGTATGTGGGTGTGTGGGTGTGTGGGTGTGTGGGTGTGTGGGTGTGTGGGCGTGTGGGTGTGTGTGTGTGTGTGTGTGTGTGTGTGTGTGTGTGTGTGTGTGTGTGTGTGTGTGTGTGTGTGTGTGTGTGTGTGTGTGTGTGTGTGTGTGTGTGTCTGTGTGTCTGTGTGTCTGTGTGTCTGTGTGTCTGCGTGCGTTTGCGTGTGCGTGTGTCCTGTGTTGCGTGTGCTGTGTGTGTGTGTGCGCGCATGTGATTGGCTTGGGCGGTTGCTTGCTTGCTTGTTTTTCGTTTGTGCCTCATTTTCCTTATTTTGTTCGTTCGTTTGTTTGTTGGGTGGGCCAGGGAAAAGGCGGGCGACGACAGCAACTGTTCACACTTGCTGCTGGTCGCTCTTGGCATGCTGCCTTTTCTTCTGTTTCGTCCCGTTGTGTGGTTTACTGCTCTTGCTGCTTGTGCCGCCTGCCATGTGCTTGCAGCTCGGCTGATTGGTTTAGTCGTCTGTGGTACCTGCCGACTACAGGGAAGCCATCAGACTTGGACAACATAAATGATGACACTCCCAAGCTCCAGCCTCCAGCCAGATCCCAGGCGCAGAGCCCCGAGGCTCCATAAACAAACGCAAGCGGACAAGCGGACAGCTGGGAATCGCCAGCTCCAAAGATGTGCAGTGATCATCACTTGCACAAATGGCTATGCACCATTGCCCAATTGCTGAAAATCATCGTTCTCCTGAAGGTGCGATAAGCGCCTCTAGCAAATGAAGCAGGGTCGATAGCTTGGGCGTAGCACCAAAAGCTCAACACGTTCCTTCCTGAATAGAGAGACCCTACTTCTTCCTGTGCAAACTGGCATTGTGCATGTACAAGCCTGTGTTTCCCATGCGGAACCAACAGCAACCCGATCGCCTCTCATCTATGTCAAGCAAAGTCAAGCCTTCATCTTGCCTTGCTCAACATGTATTCTCCTGCCCCGATAAGGGACGATGGTTTCCTCTTGGTTCCTATACCGTGGGGATCATCACAGGTGCACAATAATTGATTCACATTTGAAGATCGAGCCATGTACGGGACCAGAATCAGGGGGCGACAATGACAGATCATCCTCCGCTGGAATTGTACGCTGCAGGCTCGCCATCTGCTCGTTCTCTTGCTCAAGCCTGGCACATGGAGTTTACGCTGCGGGACCTGTGATGTTCCCTGCACATGCAACCGAAAGCTGGACCGTGAACCCGGCTAAATTATGTTCAATACATGTACTTAAACTCTTGTAATTGATTGAATTAATGATCCCTGTCAGACATTATCGTGGGCTGCTTGCCAAAAACCGACAGCGATGACGCCGACAAATTCTGGCGATGGCCGACCATGTATTCATCTAGTCTAGAGAACGCGAAGCAAGAGCAGACAGGCCACGACAACCAACATGAAACCTGCGACGATCGCTGACTGCTTAAACCCACAAACACCGTAAAGATGGCACTGGTAGTGTCGGTGATGACAGCGAAACGTCAAGAAACCTCCAGGCATTTCCTCAACCTGAGTGCATCACCGGGATGCCCAATGCTGGCTTATCTTTTGGCACTAGACTTGGCATCATTCTGCTCAAGGGTCACGGGTCCGACGGGCCTGTGGTCTCGAAGGGCCCTGCTCTTCTTGATGTCCTCCTCAAACGCAACAGGGTCATCCTCCACCTTCTGCAGGAACTCCTGTGTGAGCTTCTGCCCCGGCCCCTGGGGGACCCACGGGGCCCATTTGCTTGGAGAAGGGTTTCGGGGAATCTTGTTGGAGAAGCTTGCAGCTTTTGTTTCCCTACTGAGTGGCTAGTGTCCGAAGAAACCTATATCCGGACCAACAACTACAAAAGACTGAAGCCCTGAATACTGTGCTCTATGAGTCCTGCAAATAGGCCTCATGCCACCGTCCCTTCCCAGCCGACGGTTGCACCTGAACTGCCGAAGCGAGGCGCTCAAAGGTCACGTTGTGGCTTCTTTCGGTCGCACTGATCTACAGGTGCTTCTAGGGGGATGCCACTTCAGCACAAGTCTGGTTTCCGGGCTCACGGCTGGCAAAGAGCGTTCGGACCTAAGGCCCTCCGAAAAGGACTTTGCCTACCATTTCTCTGACCTTAGACCGCGAAATGCCCCCAGAACTTCCCGTGGCCCTGGCCCTGGCCCCACCTTCAAGGCGGCATCCGGCGGTCCCGGCGAGGCATCCGGCGGTCCCCGCCTCTGTCTCTGGATGCCTCCCCGTGGCTCTTGGCAGAGATTGCGCGGTCTAGGAGTGATGGCAGATCCCTTTGTGCCCTTTGCTGCTTCTGGCTAGCTGGCGACTCGTAAGCAAAGACGAGTTCATGGACAAAGGAACTTCGTCTCTTTCTTAGGCGCATCACTGCCACGGCTCCGTCTCCTTCCTCTTACTGCTGTCGCATGCTGTTGCTGCCACGAATTACTGATGCTGCTCCTTTCTTCCTAGCAGCTGCAGCAGATCTGAATGTAGCCCTGGGCTTTGCAGAGTCCTTAACGGGCTTCCCGTCAAAAGCAAAGCTCTGCAAGAAATGATCCCACTCCAAGCAGCACGGCCTGCTACTGCTCCTACTCCTGCTCCTTCTCCTACCCCTACTCCGACTCCTACTACTCCTATTACCCCTCCTACCCCTACTCCTACTCCTACTCCTGCTCCTGCTGCTCCTGCTCCTGCTGCTCCTGCTCCCACTCCGACTCCTACCTGCTCCTACCCCTACTCCTAATCCTCTCCTCAAATCCTCCTACTCCTCCGACTCTTCCTACTACTGCTACTGGAACTGCTACTGCCACTGCCACTGCTACTCTGACGACGATGACAACGACGACGACTACTACCACTGGTACTACCTACTACTAGTTACTGATAGCTGGAACCGCATTTTGATCCTGATCTGACCCTGGATATCGTGTCTCATCTAGACTTGGACTCGCGAAGCTTGATTATAAGTCGTACAACTTCGCGCCTGCGGCTGACGCCAGAAAGCCAGTGGAAAATTTGCCGCCTCCCTTGGCTCCTTTGGACGTGTGCGAGGATGCAGCAGTGGACCCAGTTGCGGTAGTTCTGGGTGAATTGTCGTTTGTGCCCTCGGCCTGGCAAGCACAGCCGGACAAAGTGCAGGCTTTGGTGTCCTGGGTGTATAGAACTGTTGAGACTATGTTTGTACATAAATACAGCTACGTACATACAAAACAAAGACAGAGACACAGAGAGAGAGAGAGAAGCAGAGGAGAGAGGCAGAGAGAGAGAGCGAGAGCGAGAGGGAGGAGAGAGAAAGAGAGAGAAACGTAGTCGGCGTATTGATGTGAGTGTGAACAGGCGGCATAAGTTTTAGCTGTTAAGGTGGAGGCAAGCAGACTGTTCGATTTGCCTTCGCATCTGCAGCGCGCCGCAGGGGCAACTTGAGGGTCACCATGATGCCATGTGCATCCGTGCGATCCGCTGAGCCGAAATGAAGCGTACCAATAACATGCAGCCTTCTTCAACTCGGGCAGCTGACCCCAAGACCAGCTAAAGTCCTGAAGATCCGAAGGCTCGAGACGCGGCCGGTATTACAAGAAACATCGCTCCGACAAGTCCTGCCGGCGCGGCGCGTACAATACAACAGGCTGTACAATCGAGCAGCAAAATACAAGATTAGGCTGTCCCGTGGATGAACCATAAAGAAATTGCCAAGAAGCCAACTCCAACCACAGCCACCACGACCACGACCATGTGGTGTCACAACAACGGTGACGACTGCAAAGGCGGCATTATAGCCCACAAAACCCAGAAAAGAAGCAACAACGATATGACGCCACCAACGGAATAACAATCCAACGCTACCACCAGCAAGAAACGACTTGCGACCATGATGATGGCCAACATGGCCAGGATGCTAATGCCAAAGCAAACTCCTAGCACACACCCGCTCAGCGGCGACTTGCTTTCAAGCTTATGTACCGTTGTTGAGGCTAAAGATTATTGTTGTTGGGAATGGCAACATGAGAATCATGAGCAACCCTAAACCATAAACCTTAAACTAACAACAGAAACTGCAGAGGCATCGCGAGCCTCCTCTTCTGAGTATCTCGGCCTTTGTCACTGCAGGAGGTGCTCCTCCTCCGACGCCTGGAATCTCGGCAGTTTTAGCGAAAGTCGATCGAGATGTCATTTGCCTGACATCATTCATATACATATATATATATATATGTATACAAATGTACGGTCATAATACATATTTATATATATATATACACACACACATACATGCACATACATGTATACTAGACTTTCTGATCTCGGGCCAATTTGGGGTCACTCAGTACGGTCTTAGGCTTCCCAAGATGCCGAAGATTCAGGCATCTCGAATTGAGGATTTAAAACTAAGGGTTTGTGAGTTTAAGACCCTAAACCCTAGAAGTGCTAGATCCCGAATGTCCTAAACCCTTACAACCCGGAGCGTCCTGTTGTGGGCGCTTCAGCGAGGGAGCTGCCATGCCCGCTGCAAAAAGTCAAGCAAGGGCTAAACGTTCTGGGCATTCTTTTCATGTTTGGTGAGTCGGGTCTGGCAATTTTTTATCATATCAGGTTTTCGATTTTGAAGGGTTGTTGACCGATCCGGCTTAGGTCCAGGATCAGGGGACTTCGCACGGTCTATTTAGGGCTTGTTAGTCTGGCAGTTGGCAAGACCCTACTGAGCCACGAAGGTACTTTTCATGCCTACTTTAATTCTACGGTACTGCTTCAGAAGTTGCGCAACGCTGACAGGCAGAAAAGTACTGCACCTGCTCAAATGCGTTCTTCGGTGTTGATTTACATGAGCCAGAGATTCGCAGGAGCATTGCAGCACCGGCGCTTGCAAGGGAGCAGCTCGCACCAACTCTTCTGAAATTCTGAGTTCAGCACGGCACTTCTGCGTAGACTTCCTGCACCGGTTGTAGAACACTAAGCACCAGTTGCAGTCGCACTTTGCCTTCGTGCCGGCCTGATGTCTGCCAGTAGAAAACTCACCGCTGGTAACAATGCTTGTAAGACCTTCTGTGCACAGCGCGTAGGAATTGGAACGAAGCCCTTGAGAATTGCTCGAGATGAGGATGCTGCAAGAGCCACCACAAAAAACAGACAGGGGTCGGAATAACAGTTAGTAAATTTTATCTCCTTCAAGTCCCATGTAATGTTCTGTAATCTATCCCACAGCTCCATTCGAGTAATTTCTTCATTTGTTGCACAGGGGAGGCCTTCATCGGCTTGGCATAAGGTGCTCCGGGGGCGTTCGGCGGCAGGTGCTGGGGGCGCACAAATCGGTTGATGCGCACGCCTGGCAGGATGTCGGTCTAGGGTTTAGGGTTCAGGGGTTTAGGGTTTCGGCTTCAGGGTATAGCTCAGGAGCATCTGATGTGGATATCCTTCCCTGACGTCAGCAGACTGGACAGCTGCATCCCAGTTTCGGGGTTGGAGTGTAGATCTGTTGGTCTCACAGCACAAAGAAGCAGATCCCAAAAGGTTCCATCCCAAGCTACCAGTACGAGCTGGGCCTGTCTCTTTCCGAGGAAGGCCCAAAAGGTTGTTGCAAAGTACAGTATGGCACCCACTAGGATCGCTGCGTTCGGATGTAGCACGGTGAAGGGATAATTTAATAGGGGCCCATACATGTAAGCAGCTTGCAGTAAGAACTCGATCCGTATAGGTTCCGTAGGGATGTGGTGGTTTTGGCTCAAAGAAAACCACAACTCCCAAAGCCCTGAAGTCTCGCTATTCAGCCGTCACCAGACCGCGACCCGGAAGATAGCGACTCCTGCTTGGGTGCATCCTAGGGAGCTGCCACGAGCACAGATTATGGCTTAGGTGTCCTTTTTCGTGCCTGGTCTTGTTATGGCGGTTTCCGAAAACAGGGGACCATAATATAGAGCCCTATATAGTAAGATCCATGTTATAACGACGAAAATCAGGTACCCCTTATTTTCGGAAACTCACTTATGGTCATCCTGCTAGATGCATTTCTCACCCGACCCAGACCCGCCAGCATCAACGGTCATCCTCATAGAAGGCTTGTGACATTATGAACCACCTGAGCGTGTAACATAGTGGGATACACGCAAGAGTGTCCACCACCGTTTGACATGGCCAGTGCCTTCAGAATTCTTGGCTCGGCGCATCAACCGACGAACCTGTGCTCGGGCCAGTCCCTAGAGTGATTAGAGGTATTTTGCCAATCTTGGTTCTGGCTCTACGCCTTGCATGTGGCCAGGCTTGCGGAACTAAGCATTCAGCACCACAAGTATCACGTAGAAGGCTGCAGTGATATTTCATTCATGTCTCTCAATAGCTCAAAGGAAGCTTTCGCTGCCGCCTTGTGCTCGGTGAAAACTGGCAGACCAACACGCGGCCTAAGCGGAGAGCAGGCGGCGCTTTACCATCGCTAGCCGCTAGATCACACAATGTCGGCTGCCTTCAAAAACTGCAAACTGTCCACTTAGCGCTGGCTGCCATGAGAGTCTGAGCCAATTTGAGCCCTTGGCTTGTAGAGCAAGTGCCGCAGCTCCTTGCCCTTGCGATTCAGCACCTCGGGAGAACGGCGATCTGAGAGGAGAACTCCTGCCCTTTCTGATAGACACCGCCTGCTAGAAATCATGGTCGAAGGTGCAAAACATAGACCCCGAGAAGTGTTGAGAATCGAGACATACGAAGAGTGGTTGTGTGGTAGATGCAGACATCAATCAATGGTGGTACAAGCCTCAGAAGTCTGGGTTTAGGGGTCTGAGTCCGTGGATGGCAAAGCTGCAGAAACCAAGCATGGGTTCGCTTCCTAAGATTGCAGATGCGACCAGCATGCGTACATGAGTGGTAAACGACTACCATCGCGACGCCTGCTGCACCCACGATACAGAACACTGGTCTTATGCACTGGCAATAACTTTTGGCTCCTTCTTCTTCATGTGAGTCTTAAAACATAACTGCTGGTAAAGAGAGCTAATTATGAGCCGGGGCTTGGGCTCAAGGGTTAGAGCTTCAATGCTTACGTGTCGAAGAGGGTTGAGGGTTCATTAGGACTGGGTTTTGAGGCTTGAGTTTGGGGTTGAGGAATCCAGTGTTTGGCTTCCAGCTTCAGGGTTGAAGGATTCAAGGTCGAGGGTTTAGGCTTAAGGCTTTGAGGGATTTATAGGTTTAGGCATTTGGGACTTTTGGATTATGGCTGAAGGCTTCGAGCTCAGGGCAAAGGACAAGGGTTTTGCTAGACTGTAGGTCAACCACCAACCCTGGCTTCATGCGTGGAAGCTGCCGCGTCTTGTAGGCACTGAGAGTAACAGCAAAGGACGCAAATGAAAGGAAGTGCGTAAGTTACGGCGACTCATGGAATTCCTACACTTCACAGAAGCCATGACAGACAAAGCGGCACTCCCAGAGCCCTGAAAGCATCATTTTGACATCCCATGCACGCAGCCAGCGGCATTTTCCCGTCGCGGTCGAAAAGCATGTTTGGGACTGCTGTGGGGCTGCATCGCCAGGGTGCGGTCAGGAGCCAGCCACTACCCACACCTCCTCCTTAGACGTTTGTCCGATGTCAACCTTTCTGACCTCTGCATTGATGATGTTCGTGAGACAGGTCTTTGGCAACGAGCCGTCACTCGGGTCCCTTAGTTCAACAACGACTGGCATGCATTTGGGGATCTGTGCGTGTCATGCAGAGATACGTAACGGTTGTATGATACGCGCACACATACATGCCCACGCACGTATAATGTGTATATATATATATACGCTCATATATATATATATATATATATATATATATATACATATATATATATATATATATGTTTATTTATATTTATATTTATAGTTATATTTATATTTATATGTATATTTATTTGTTTTATATTTTATACTTATATTTATATATATATATATATATATATATATATATATATATATATATATTATGCATGTACCTATGAATTAGGAAAGTTTGTGAATGTATGTTTCCGTGATGTTTTGTGTGTGTGTGTGTGGTGCTGTGTGTGTGTTAAGGTCATCTTGAATGCATATGCCGGAGTCTGTCAGGTTTACATACGCCTAGCATCAGGCTCGTACATTCAGACGTACATGTGCCCTATGTGCTGACTTGCTGACTTGCCTACATACATGCCTCTTTAACTGCTTACTTACTTGCTTGCTTGCTTACCTTCCTTCCTTCCTTATACCCACCTACCTTCCTTCGTACCTACCGACCTACTGTCTTACTTCTTTCCCGACAGTCGTGGGTTCTAGATCTTGTCAACGATAAGAAAGAAAGGGGGTACTGTGACAAGCTCAAGCACGTGAACGAAGTGACACAAACATATACCTGTAATATGCGCACACGAACATAAATAGACACAAAGCCACATACGCATACTGGGTGTGTAAACTCTCTTGTGATTCACCACCCGGCTTGCAAACAACACACGATCTTGGCTACAACCCGAAAGGGAAGGGTTTGGTGCTTAGGCTTTGGGGCCCTATTCAACCCCCAAAACCCTAAAATTGCCAGCAAAGCCAAAGGTCTGCGGAAGGAAGCTCCAGCAGGAAGCCCGGGGCAGCGCCTCACAAGCAAGGCATAAACCGGCTGGGCCTTTACTATGTTCAAGTTCTGGGCCCCGTGGCCCGGAAATCTTAAAGTCAACATAAGCCCCTGAAAATCCGAAAACCCCCAGCTCCCGGCCTCGAGTTGGAGTTTAGGGCTTGGGGGCTTAGGAGCTCTTACCAGTACGACTCAAATTCACAAGGAGCGTGCGTGGCTTTTTACTGTTCGAGCGGCCAAATAGTTTCAACGCAGTCCGGTCTGTCTTGTGATTGTCTTCCGGATCCTTTCAGGATTGTGCAGGCTGCAGGATGAAATACTTGACACAAGTCGCAACCATGCCCTTGCAGCCCTAACAACCACAGAAGAACATCACTGAATCATCACTGCCGCTGTCGCGGAAGATCCCGGCCTCCGGGTACATGTTGCTCAGCTCGCTGTTGCAGGAGAGAGAGTAGTCCCAACGATATCGAGGTCTGGGCACAGCGGATTTCCCAAAAAAGCCGCTGTTTCAGACCTATGAAGGTTTGAACTGTTGGACCAAGGCCTGTAGGTGGTAGGGCGAGCGCTAGAGCTTCTTTTTGTTTGCTCCTCTTCCTCTCGCCTAGCGCTAGAGCTTCAAGACTCAAGGTTCTGAGGGCAGTTGGAGAACAAACAGGCCCTGCGACTGGACAACTGAGAGAAACACCCCGCCTTGTTTTAGGGAATGTGGAGGCGTATGTGTATAGATTATATGTGTATAGATTATTGGTACTATAGGGAACATTATATATTTCTACATGTAAAGTACATGTTCCACATAGAGAAGGCTTGCTGCCCCGAGCTGTCGGCGCAATGGTCTAAGGATCAAGGCTGACGTGCAAGGCCACGTCAACCAGGAAGAGCAGCATGTGCCAAAGGACATCTTGAGGCCATAGCAACAAGCTATAATCACTATAAAGAACCCCCAAAATGATGTAGGTTTTTTTTGGCCCCTATACCATATATACAATGTCATGAGTGCTCCGTAACTGAAGGTGCAGGGTATTTCTGGTAACTTGCATCCTAGGAGCGCTTTGCGGATAAGTCCTCTGCAGACACGATTTGCCCTGAGCACAGGGGGTTAGAAAGTGATTAGCAACTACAGTAACTACAGTACTGTAGGGGCCTTAATGATTAGAATAAGGTGTTGAGGCCCATTATACTGGAGTTACAACAGGTAGCCCCCCAAAATAGTATTAGGTAATTATTGAGGCCCCTATAGTAGAACCCCAGAGCTGTCACGATCGTATTTTGGAGCTGTCGAGATGAGTGGTGCCAAGGCTATTGGATTGGGGCATGGATTTAAACCTTTCCGGACAGCTGGCGGCGACAAAAGCAAAGCAACGACAGCCATGCAATTAGTCAAGACAGAGAGGCTTTCGCGTTGGCACTTTGATCTTGATCTCCGACGACTCCAAATAACGCATCCATTTGTAGGGCTGCGTTTGCACCACGCAAGATTCCATGGGGTCGATGGCGCTTCCGTAGAGTTGGCCGCAAACGACACACTGCACAGCGGAAGGGGAGAGGAGGCCGAGATCGTGCTTACAGACGAGCCCCAGGCCAGTATCGCCTTCCATAGGGATTACGCAGCGCTCGGCGGAGTCGGCGATTTCAGAAACCTGCTCCTTCGTCGGGAGGCTCCCAGAGAGCTCTGAAGTGCGAAGTGCGTGAAGCACCGCCAGCCGAACAAAAGCCAGGAGCAGTGGACGCAACATCTGCATTCCCGAGCGGGAGCACTTCGGACCTTACATGAGGCCGAAAGGACAAGTTTGTCCTCTCGCATACCGACTATTGAAGGCAGGTTTGATGCAAAAAACATGTGCAGACGCGAAACACCCAGAATCTCGATTTCCTGAATACAAGCCGGCAGGCGACGGCGATTTCGCAAACAACGGCACAGTGGTTACAAGCTCATGGCCCGATGGCAGGCGGGATGCTTGAGACTCATGCGACGGGGCCGGTCAATCACGTGCAACCACGTTCAAAAATATCTGCAGTCCCAGCAAAATTGCATTTGCTCGCAAGCACTTCAACACGAGCAAGTACAGGCACACAATTCTGAACTCATTCCGGGCATCCCTGCGAAAGTGATCTCCTTGAGGGACAGGTGGTTGTCATAGAGGAGGGGCTCAATGTACGGGCGCAGCCTGGAACATGCTCAATCCAAGCTCCACAACTCCTTCGTACAGCATTCGCAGGCTACTACATTAGATGGAGAAGTTCTCCAGTAACAGTTATGGACACAGATGGCACCAATTGTACTTACCGGGGCGAGGACACCCTGCAGCTCCGAAACGCTCCCAGTAATGCCCAGAAGGAGCCTCTCTGCCTCCTCGTTCAGTTCCCTTCGTGCATAGCCTGGCGACGCGGGACATTTCTGGACACAAACGGCCAGCATGCCAAGTAGTTGCCAAGTGAGCAGAGACTCCAAGATACAGTTTCGCTCGCCTGACCCCGCTCTATTTGCCCGAAAATGCTTCCTGGCTTCGTCTGAAACTTGCCGAAACATGGCACATGATTTTGCGAATTTATTCAAAGCTTGAAGCTAAGCCATCTGCAGCAGATCATGTGCGAAACAACATTGGATGCTTGCGGGCATGGGCTCAGTGTATCAGGGTGCTTTGCGGCTTGTCCTAGGCGCTGAGACCCCGACACAAGGTGCCACGACGCCTGGAGACCGGTACTGGCAGGGATTTGTTGGCATCTCCCACCCCAAGACTAGACAACAACCAATTCGAAACCACACGTTACTCTTGCCATGGCAGTTGTAACTGAGAGTGAGAGCTCCAACTGTCTTGTTACTGTTCACCAGGCTGTCACCAGGGTCTGGATCCACCTAGCTTGCTCTTCAGGGCAGGCGAGGCCGTCAGGTTCAGTAGCTTCAAACATTTCGCTCCTCCCAATCCAGATCAATGTAGCACCGATAGCTGGTATCTTGTTGAAACAAGTAACACGGTCGCATCACGATAGCACCAGTTTTGCGATTCTTCTTCCCACGATCGTCACTGCAAGACTTGCTCGTAAACAAGCCCCGAAGCCCGAACCTCAAAGGACCTCACCGAGGACCCGGTGGCGCAGCTCACTTAGGGCCCAGCTCACGCTTTGGCTTGATCTTGCGGAGAGGACGAGGGTCCAAGCCTGCTTTTCCCGCTTCTTTGTGCGTAAAATGAGGGACGACTCGGGCGGGGCTGTCTGAAGCACGGTTTAGGGTTCTAGAATTCAGAAAGGTCCTTCAAGGTTTGAAGTTCTATGACTTTGAGGGTCCTTGATTTCGGAATTTGGGTTCTACAGAGGCACCCGGTTATGGAATCAGGGGCATAAAATGGATGGGAAGTTTCTGGCTCCGGAAAGGGCTCCACACCAGTGTTGAGACCCCAAGTTCCGACACCTGAAACAATATTTTCTGCTGCGGCCCAGACTGGTCTCTTCTGAGATCTCAGCATCGCTGGGTGGGTCCTGTCAGCGGGCTATTGCAATCCCTGCCAGTGATTGGACAGATCAATGCGTTTAACTATCAAGTGGACTTACTGCTACTAGCTACAACTGTTGACGCTCTTGCTCTTGTAGCGGCAGATGTTGTGGTTGTTTGCATCGCTGTTGGGAGCGCAGTCTCCGTCTCGAACCGCTTGCTGCGCGACAGCAAGCTCGAGGCTTAATACTCATCCTGTCTGGCAGGATCGACAACTCATCCCCCAGATCCTGGCACGCACTGCCAAAAGATACGTCGCGGACGGTCCTAGACTCCTAGGTACTCAGAAGCAAGTTGTTGCCGAAATGATTCGGCAGCGCCACATCACCGATTGATGGCCTCGCTCTTAGAGAAGGAACTGTCCGCAGCCAATGTCCAAGGCCCTTGAGCACGACCACAAACCACACGAAGAGAGCTTGCCAATAGTCCCAACAGCAACATTCCACGTCAAACGGGCATCAGTGCCTCGAGGGCTACGCCGGTTGCCTGGGATACTTCGTGGATGTGCTTTGGGTTTAGGCTTGGGGTTTTGCAAGACTTGGGCACAGCTCGCCTGCTCACTCCATGCATTTCTTTTTCGACGATGATATCTAGAGGAGAAGCTGATAATCTAGTGAAGAAGCGGCAAACCTTCCAACCAAAATTCCGAAGCCCCGAATCACTGCACCAACAAGGCCGATCTAAAAACAAAACCAGGCCTTCCTCCCTGAAGTCTCAACCTCAAGGAGCGACGGACCTCTCGGGCTCTGGCTATGACTACTACTGCTACTGGTCCTGCTACTGCCACTACTACTACTGCTGCCACTCCAATTCCTACTCCTACTCCTCCTCCTACAACTACAACGACAACTACTACAACAACTACCACCACCACCACGACTTCCTGTACGACTATTGCTATTACTATGACTATCAGACTATCAGCTGACCCCTAAACTTCCTATTTTTGCTATCGGCATCACTTCTATTTGTTGCTCTTAGTCTTACTTGACCATGAGCCCTACCCATTCTAGGCCCTAGGCCTCTTCCTCAGCGCAGCGTGCCACGGAGCGCGCTCTCGGCGCAGGTGGGCGGCCTTCCAGTGGGTCATTGCAGCTAGAGAGGAGCCTTAAACTGCCTGGTTTTTGGAGAGGGATGCGGTCGCTAACTCGGGCTGAAATCATTTCGTAAGTAGCTTGCATAAGATCGAATGATAGGCTTGAAAATCTCAATTTGTAGTAGAGGCAGGACACTGATTTCTGAACTGGGTCGCTGTGGCGAGTCCCAGGAAGTCTAATTACTCTACCCTGCCCCTAGAAACGTTGAAGAATCTGCATTGATCTTGTGGTGATTGTTCCTTCCGCTACAGAACTCGTTGCCGTAAACCAACAACTCATAAACCAGATGTGAAGCGAGCATACGCAAGCTGCGCACCTGCCACGAACGACTGGCTGATCCAGCACCCTGCATAGGGATTTGGGTTGCTTTGCTTCTGCGGCTACGTTATCGTGACCGTGATGATGATGATGACTGGGATGAGAAGGAACCTGATGATGCCCAGAACTTCATGCTTCTGTCTTCAGAGCCAATGCGGGAAGTGCGACTGTGGACGGCGGGTTCTGCCCTGAGGACTTATACGCTACAGTAACTGGTACTAGGACTGCTGGGATAGTGGGACGTCCTGTGCCAGGGCAGCTGTGCTGCCAAGACCACAGAAAACTTGCTTGCAATCCTTGAAACCTTGTGCATAGCTAGTGTCGGCACCAGCATAAACACAAACACAAAACAAACACACCAACGCACAAACACACACACACACACATACACACACACACACACACACACACGCACAACATATATATATATATATATATACACATACACATACACACACACACACACTCTCTCCCTCTCTCTCTTTCACCATGAACTGACTGCGCAGACGACACTACACATGAAGCCGTGCAATAGAATCAATCCCAGATCTTGCAATATCGAAGGCTCCATTGTAGCATATTGCAGGGACTTTACACTCCATGATTAATGACGGCATCATGAGAGGTCTGGGCTTTGACATTCACAGCGCGAGTACCGCTAAGCACGCGGCCCCCGAAGAATGCGACCAGAAGGGTAGCTACCAGACCCCGCGGCCGCCGCGAAGCCATTGCTCCCTGTCGCACTGTAGCTGATGTCAGATGTTAAGGTTTCGAATAAGTTTTCGAAGCTTCGGATGCGGGTTTACGGTTTAGGGATAGGGATTCTTGGAGGGTCAAAGAGCTTTGTCGCTAGCTTTCTTCCAAGACTCGCCCCCCCCAACTAGTCAATAGTCCTTGGTGGTCCGGGCTCGCACGGAGAGGGAGAGCCGTGCGTCGGAGGTTTTGCACCAACATCCGGCAATTGATGCCCGGCAATCGAACTCGCGTGGCAGATCGAAGCGTTGCCCGCTGCTTTAAGCATCACGTTGTTCTTAGCAGTGCCACCATGTTGTCGATTCGTTCTTCTTCCTGCCGCCGCACGGCATCTGAACTCAACTCCGTTCGGGTGAGCACAAACAGAGGATCTTTCGTTACCCGTAAAAGGGCATCGCATGGCATCTCGCCAGCTAGAACAGACCAAAGAGATCCACAGAGTTCAGAGGCGCAAATAGTCGGCCCTTGGCTTGAAAAATGGCCTCCTGCCAGTTGGGCTCGGGTTTGGGTCTGGAACTCGTTTCTCTCGGAATCTACTATCGCAGCAATGCTTCCAAAACACAAACAGCTCAACACACCAAACCGCAATCCTCACAAAATTCCCTTGGCACCTGCGTGCCGTGTCCGCCGCGTGCGGGTGGCTTGGTGAACCCCCAGAACGCGGGAGCCGAGCTTCGGACGGTAGGCACAGGACTGTAGGAACGTATGGAGGTTCAGTGGGCTTACGTCTGCATCCAGGGATGCAGGGAGAGATCCGTGGCCCCTCTAGTTAATAACAACCAACCCAAGACTCCACGACTGAATCCCAAACCCATACAAGCAAGCAAAAAGCCCAACCCTCGTCCCAGACGCTACGACATGCTATGGCCCAAGCCTAGGCTAGATCTGCAGTCGTGACCCACAGTAACCGACACAACACTTGCAGGTAAATGGCCTCATTCTGGAGAGGATAGGACGCGGAGGAGGAAAGGCAGAAGTAGCACATGCTGCTGTGTCCCGATGCTGCAGGAGATGCAAGTAGTCACTTCAACCAGGTGTCCTTCGCCAGGTAGTAGTCCAGGGACCGCAAATACTTGTTGTGCGCGATCACCACCTGCTTGCAGCTGCTCGAACTTGGGGGAATCATCACGGCATCTTGACCAACTGTAGTAGCACCTGGCATTATGCTCAGAATCACTGTCGATGTGCCATATTCGTTACTGTGCGAAAATCACATATTTTCCATATTACACAAGAATCACGTGATCGTAGTATTGTGTGTCTCTCCTGCTGTGCTTTCCACAGGCTACGCGGCCCTATGTATGCCCATATGGCAGGTTAAATCCCTACGTCGCAGCAACACAAGTTAAAGTTAGCTACTAGCAATGTGCCAGTTCACGCTGACACACAGTGGCACATACACTCGATCAATTTCCCAACCACCATTCTCTGTAAACGAGAGTAGCACCAGCAGTCTCTTTGTCAACCGTCCTCCACCTCTTCCTCCTCCTCTCCGCCTCCTCCTCCTCCCCGTCGTTGCCGGCGGTGTTGCTGCTGATGATAATTGTAATCAAGACGGTGATGGGGATGACGATGATGAGGATGCTCATGATGATGATGATGCCGATGCCGACGATGATGGCGATGGCGATAGCGAAGAACTTGAAGACGATTAATGCTATACCGCGGTGATTTCGATGAGGATGAGGATGAAGAGAAAAATGGAAGGCGCAGTGTGAGAAGCAGCAGGAGGAGAACGATGCTAATGTGTTGATGAAAAACCGAAGCAATTTTATTGCTGCTGTGTATAGTTCCGGATGCGATAGACTCTTGAACCTCGCCATCTCGTCCGCTTAAACACACAGCCACTCTGTCTTTCAGCCACGGATGCGCCGTCTGCGCTGCTAAACTTTTCTGGGCCACTGGCGCATTCGCCCAAGCCCAAATCTCTGAACCACAGGCTGCCGTTTTGCGAAGTATGCCAGAGTATAATATACTATAGTATAGTATAATATACTAATAGTACATGATGGTAGAGTCTAGTATATTATAGTAGAGTCCAGTAGAGTATAAGCATATAGTATATTCTCGCATTGGTATAGTATAAAAGTATGATTCTTCTTGCTGTGGCGCAGTGGCGGTGAAACGAGATTGTCCCAGTACGAGAACGAACGGTGAAATCTGGCATGCAGAGCCAAATTCAGGTCTTCCAGCTTCCATCTGTTTCGAGTGCAGCTTCTAGCCATGAGAACAATCGCTGCATGTAAAGACTGCAATCTTGGTATCTGGAGTTTCCAACTGCTGCTATGCGTAAAACGCAAGCCCACGGTCCGTACTTGTGGAAGCAAGGATTCAGAACTCTACACCAACTCACAAGCGCAGATGTCGTCTCACCTCAGTGGAGTGCAGCGGAGTTGGCGATGGGGATGGACCGTGATACGTGACCCACGCTGCGATGATGGTTGTTCTGGTGGCGCTGCTGATGCTGGTGATGACGACGAAGAAGCTGGTACTGCTGAGGGCGCGGAGCACTAGAACGATCACCATCATGATGCTGACAGTTCGGAGGAAGCTACCCCAAAGACTACGACGCTACCAGGCTGCGCACTCAAGACCCCTGGCTCGGAACGAGCCCTGAGTGGCGAAGAAGCTATATCACGGATCCTGCAAGTTCACCTAAAGTCATATGCTACATACGACCGGAAGATGTGAATAACCCTGTACCCAGAATCCGGAAAACTCACGGTTGCTGGTCAGGAGGCTGGAAAAGCGCTGCGAACTCACGGTAGTCCAGTTTCTGATCCTTGTCTTTGTCAAGCTCCTTCGAACTGCGGCAACTTCTGACGTTGACAAAATTCGGAAAACTTCTTGTGTACAAACACATATGTAAACCGACGAGAGTGTGTATGTCCATCTGTACATCTGTCTGTATCTCTCTATCCCTCTACCTGCCCATCTGTCTATCCGAGTCCATCCACCTATCTGTCGATCTGCTTATCTTTCTACCGATCCATCTATCTGTCTGTCTTGTCTTGCTGTCGATATGCCTATCTTGTCTAGCCGCCTGTCTGTCCAGCCATCCTACCTACCTGCCTACAGATATATGGTACAGCTACATGAATGCAAACTAATTGTACGTGAAAAGGCGCACGGATAGATAAATACCTGCAAACATGCATCTGTGACGGACAATTCACAATCAAGCTCACTTGGAAGCCTCCGCAGAAAGGGCGAGAGAGGCAGAGAGCGAGACGTAAACGTGGAAACGTGCACAACAGTTTCGCTATGCTTTTGTACATATACGGTAGTATGTGCCGTAGCCCAGGGGAGCTTCCTCGATCAGTCGCTCGATCTTGATGGTCATTCCAAATTCATCCTGCAAAGGCCATGCGAGGCAAGATGCTCTCGTATTGGGCTTACTCTACCCTCATACTTCCAGCTGCCAAAGGATCTAAATCTCAGGCCTTTATCTCTGCGATGCATCTACGTGGTCCTTCGAACTCTGCGCATATCCTTGATGACAAGGTCATCATGTATAACTTAGTATAACTGTGTATCTCTACCTCCAGTGGCAGGACCCTGCTTTGCGCCTCCGACTCGGACAACGTGACGTAGGCTAAACCAGAGACAGTGCAGACGAGGAAAGTGCATATGCATCCTTTCGTGTGTCATCGAACATCGCACAACCACCATGATAATGTTCAATTATAACTCGTACAGGCCCTATAGGCCCTAGCAGTTCGAGCCTTCACGACCTGAATCAATCGCTGCGTGTCAATGTAGCCTGTCCTGGCATGGCCGGAGGCAAGTATACTACAGCTGCAGCTGTATTCCTAAGATCTTGGTCGAAACTTGCTGCCGTGATGTTCGGTAGTCACGGACGCATCTTGGCTCCACTGCCACTGCTCTCCTCCGGTCGTAGCCGGAGTTGGAGCGAAAGACGTCAGAAACACAAAACCCTAACCCAGAAGGAAACTCGGCTCGGCGGGCTTGTCTGGCTCTCCCCCGAGTGCCACGAAGGCATCGATGGTATCCAGCTCATCCTCGAGCTCCTGTTTAAACGACGGGGGCTTCTCCTTTCTATGTCGGACTGTCGCCGTCAGTACCAGAGCAAGTGCATCGCGAGTTGCATGACACAGACAGGCCAGGCTTTCCCTAAGAAGTCCTGCGCGCCCCCTCGCTGCTTCTCAAAGGCCCGCAGGAACTCTGCAAACTCGATCTCCCCGGTCCTCGGTCTGGAGGTAAGAGCGGAATGACTAGCAGTGGTCCATGCACTCTGCACAAGTCTCTGTGCAAGGGGAAGAACTGGCTTGGTGCCGTGATCGCAGCCGGATAGTCGCAGCTCACCATCGGCATCATTTTCTGAATTCTCGATGCTCAAGCTCAGAAGCTCAGCTACAGATTATGCTTAAGCCGAAGCGAAAACAAGATGGAAATGCCCGACAAGATGCCTTTTAACATCGTCATTATGTAAGATACTGCTGCCATGCAGATCTAGTTCCGGAGGCAATCGGAGCACACCGAAAGGGAGGAAGGCTTGCCGAGCACCATTGCGTGTTTACGTGAATTGACGACAGTGTCCGTGACTTCAGAGTCTAAGAGTCTAGCTTCTGACGGCAATGACGGCATGTGTCGACAAAAGAAACCTGAAACTAGTGAATCTGTACGTTGTTACTGCGAGTACCTGGCTGCGTTGTGATACGGTTTACGACGACCGAAGCAAACCACAAGGTACACCTCTCCACAGCTTTGATGATGCTTGGGCGTGCACCCGTCTTCATCCACATCTGCCATGAAGCGGAACAACTCCTCTTCGCTTGGTGCCTGCCGATCTTGTCTCCGAGTTCACAACCCTGATTGACGAAAGCAATACATGGAGACAAGTACTGACATCCAACCGCTAGTTCCCTTCAAAAATGGCAACCATGCTACCTGGCTCTTAGCGATGGACATTCTCTTTCCTACAACAAATCTGCAACCCATGGGCAATATAGCACACAGTCATACGTGCGGAGGTAGAAGACAAGAATCTGTGTGGCATCTTAGCTAATTCATCATTGGCAAGCCAAGCGGCTCATAGATATGGACCAACAGGTAGCTACTTCTAGGTAGGCAGGTAGGTAGGTAGGTATTCAGATAGACAGATAGATCGACAAGTAGTTAGATATGTCAGGTAAAAGGAAGATGGATAGAAAAAGAGATTCATAGAAAGGGAGATCGATAGACAGACAGACGGACAGACGGACAGAAAGACGGACAAACGGACGGATGGACGGACGGACAGATAGACAGACAGGCAAACAGAAAGATGGATAGCAAGATGGCTAGATAGATGGATAGATAAACAGATCGACGGACCGATAGCTCGAGTTAGACATCTTTGGACAAATGGACAGATGCATAGATAGATGGCTAGCCAGGTCGTTCAAGAAGCACGAAAACAGAACCTTCAAGTAGCTGCCAGAGTGAAACAGAGGGCGAAAGCAAATGCGAATTCTTAAAGTCGGCTGTCAACTTAATCGCAGACAACTGCCAAAACAAATCCACACGTCCTGGTTCGCAGCTTTGGTATTGGGGTTTAGCATTCTGGCGGTTGTTGGGAGAACACAGAGATTAGCCGGCAGGTGGGATTCCAATCCGCGCCTCACCGATGGCTTCCAGAAGGAGCTTCATTTCCTGTGCGCAGGACGTACAGGACATGACAGATTGCAGTTCGCCTGGGACTGGCACCATGAAGTCTTTGATGATCGCCGTTGCCATCATGGTCAGGATAAGAGTCAACATCCTCATCATCGAACATCATCATGGCGGTCACCCCAAATGACCATCTTCCACACTCGTGGTCCTACGCTCATCCTCACTACCATGGAATCTTCGGGTGTTACCCGGCGACACAGCTAAAGACGAGTACGCTGCTTCACAAGCCTATTGAATGCTAATGTAGGGGCCTTAACAGTTAGAATAGGGGTTTGGGGCCCGTTATATCATAACTATAAGACGGAACCCACCAAATAGTATTGGTAATTATTTAGGGCCCTATAGTAGGCTTCTAGTCGCCATGGTGACAAGAAAGGCTGGAACAATGGAACAGCCTTCCTTGACATGATGCAAGCTAGAAGCAGCCGTGCAATACGGTCCTTCAAAACATTCTGTGGATGTAAGCAGTCGCAGCAAAGGTCCGAAATACGTCATCCTCGGCCCCACAATCCAGATTTCAAAAAGCACTCAGGCTGAGCTGAAAGCAACTGCGCCCTGGAGTCTTGCAGAAGTCTTCAAGCCTGACCTAGCAAATGTTCCGAACCCCGTCCCGAACCAGACGCCTGCGTGTCAATGGTGCCGCTTCCATCTTGGTCGAAGGTGTTGAAGGCCTATCATTCTGATGCATCAGGGGTGAGGAACCACGAGGTTCAAACCAAACATCGCAACTGCACGTCCGTGGCATGCAACCTGCAGATAGCCACTGCAAGCACGACGAACAAAAGCCTGCAAGTCACTTCAAAGAGATTCGTCAGCTCTCATTGGGAACCTCCCGGCACTTCTGGATGAACTGCTCATCAAGCACCATGTCTCCTTCTGAGGCAGTGTTGACAGCTGCTAGGTTGACTTCACTACCCGAGTGATGGCAATGACGGCAGTGATCATATTGACAGTTCCTGACAGGAATGACACTGATTGAAGTTGCACGAACCTAAAGTCTGATCCGTAAGCTGAGGTCATGCGCCTACTCTCACGACAGCCGCTCTCCAACCCCGTTATCAACCAGCCTGGAACGCCAAACGAGCCTTGAAGATGCAAAGACCAACCGACATGAAATGTTTTTCAAGCCGGGTCGAATATTGTGACTTGGGGTTCACATCTTCTCATGCCCCCCAGGTGGGCCAGATGAGAGGTATTGGAAAGGGTATCCCCGACCAATGCAGGAGCTTCTTATCTGCACAGTAGCTCGCGGCATTCGGCCTGTAGTGTCCAACTATGCACGGGACCAAAAGGTAGTTAATATGGGCCCCATGTGAAAAGCAAGAAGCTCCAATCATGCATCTCACCAGCCGGTACCTTCTCCGGACGATGTTTGTCGCGGATGTGGGGACAGCCGTTGCTACATCAGAAGCTCAAACGGCTCTGGCACTGCATGCAACTACCAACAAGCCAAGGCCGCTTCGCTGCTGCAGGCTGCTGTGCAGAGTTCTTGAACCCAGAACAGGAGCTGTACCCAGTCACTTTGCGAAACACACGGTTCACCGTGCCTGTTCCATGCACTTCTTGAGCGCCTCGCCGTAGAAGGGATGGAAGGTTTGGAGAGCCTCGCGCACGACAGTTGCAGAAGTTACGGAAAGGACCTGTGGCCTCCTGCTACGTACTGTCGGCTGTCGCTCGGTGACGTCACGATGCTATGAAGACAGAACGGGTGTCAGGGCATGTCGTGGCTCAACTCCTGTCTGCCAGCTGGTCTGGACCCGGCAAGCAACATCCCTATGGCCGCAGAAGGAATTCAGCGAAGCATCTGTTGCATTCGCCAGACGATGTAGATCCGATGCGTATCCATGCAACTGATCTGCAGGGAACGGTCTGCACCGAGCAGAGTGTTTCCAAAGTCCTGTGCCTGTAGGCTACAGTACTGTATCAGAGAAAGTCCGGAAAAGGAAAGCTCGGAGGAAGTCCTTCCTTCTTCGCCAGGAAGGGTTCTTAACGAAACCAAATGGGAGCTTCCGAAAATTAGGGGTACCTCCTTTTGGGATCCTTGTAATAAGGATGCTACTATGTAGGCTACAAAGTTAGGGTCCCCTATTTGCGGTAACTCCTAAATGTCTTTCCAGGCGCAGGTGCAGGTGCGACAATCGGAGACAAGGTGCGCGCGGTCAGAACTGAGCCGAACCCTAGTTCTTTCTAAGGGGGGACTTCCGAAGCCCTGCAATGCCAAATGCACCAATGTGCCCATGCAGAATACATGTCTTCGAATCCTTGCTGAAGTGTACATACACAACCCTCATTGAACCTGAAACCAAACTAGCGCACAGAAATAGCATGATATCCCAGAAGAATGTGGTACACACAAAGCCTGACTTACGTGGGAAGCTGAACCCGTTGGTGCAGGGAACGCTGCTTTCACTTCATGCCACTGATGGAGACAGTTTCGTGCCATAAGCCCGGACAGGCACTTCGGTGGGCTGTTGAGCGGAAGGAATTCGGCAGAGCTGGTGTGTGAATCAGCTCCACCGAACGGAAATCCGCACCACTTCAATCTCGGCTCTCCACAAGTCAGCGACTCACGCACAGTCTGGAGCCACCACTATCTGTCTCTATAGCTGATTGCTGGATGGCCCGGATCGTTGCAACAGGCGTACGTGAGGGGTTATCAGATTGCATGATGCTGGGCCGGTAGCAATCTCGTGAATGCCGAAGATCGCGCCATTCGCCATAGCTTACCGTGTTCTGGTCCTCGCATATGTCGAAGCAGTCGCAGTTCTATCTGGACACATCCTGAGCACGCACAGGCACTTCGGCGGGCTCTAGAGCGGAAGGAATTCGGCAGAGCTGGCTAGTGTGAATCAGCTGCACCGAACGGAAATCCGCACCACTTTCAATCTCGGCTCTCCACAAGCCAGTGACTCACGAACGGTCTGGAGCCACCACTATCAGTAGGATGCCTGTCTCTATAGCTGATTGCTGGATGGCCCGGATCGTTGCAACAGGCGTACGTGAGGGGTTATCAGATTGCATGATGCTGGGCCGGTAGCAATCTCGTGAATGCCGAAGATCGCGCCATTCGCCATAGCTTACCGTGTTCTGGTCCTCGCATATGTCGAAGCAGTCGCAGTTCTATCTGGACACATCCTGAGCACGCACAGGCACTTCGGCGGGCTCTAGAGCGGAAGGAATTCGGCAGAGCTGGCTGGTGTGAATCAGCTGCACCGAACGGAAATCCGCACCACTTCAATCTCGGCTCTCCACAAGCCAGTGACTCACGAACGGTCTGGAGCCACTACGATCAGTAGGATGCCTGTCTCCAGAGCCTGTTGCTGGATGGCCCGGATCGTTGCAACAGGTGTGCTTGAGGGGTTTCATGCCATACCTTTCGCCAGATGATCTGCTACATCAGATTGCACAATGCTGTGCGGCAGCAACCTCGCGAATGCCGAAGATCCGCCATTCGCCATGGCTTGCTGTGTTGCTGGTCCTCACATATCGAAGCAGTCGCAGTTCTATCTGGACACATTCTGAGCACGCACAGGCACTTCGGCGGGCTCTAGAGCGGAAGGAATTCGGCAGAGCTGGTGTGAGTCAGCTGCACCGAACGGAAATCCGCACCACTTCAATCTCGGCTCTCCACAAGTCAGCGACTCACGCACAGTCTGGAGCCACTACGATCAGTAGGATGCCTGTCTCTATAGCCTTTCGCCGGATGGCCCGGATAGGTGCAACAGGCGTGCGTGAGGGGCTTCATGCCATGCCTTTGGCCATTCGCATCGTCGGGACAATGATCTGCTACATCAGATTGCATGATGCTGTGCCGGTAGCAATCTCGTGAATCCGGAAGATCCGCCAATCGCCATAGCTTTCCGTGTTCTGGTCCTCACATATCGAAGCAGCCGCAGTTCTATCTGGCCACATCCTGAGCACGCACAGGCACTTCGGCGGGCTGTAGAGCGGAAGGAATTCGGCAGAGCTGGTGTGTGAAGCAGCTCCACCGAACGGAAATCCGCACCACTTCAATCTCGGCTCTCCACAAGCCAGTGACTCACGAACAGTCTGGAGCCACTACTATCAGTAGGATGCCTGTCTCCAGAGCCTGTTGCTGGATGGCCCGGATCGTTGCAACAGGCGTGCTCGAGGGGTTTCACGCCATACCTTTCGCCAAGTGATCTGCAGGATGCGCCATTCGCAATAGCTTGCTGTGTTTCTGGTCTTCACATAAATCGAAGCAGTCGCAGTTCTATCTGGACAAATCCTGAGCACGCACAGGTGCTTCGGCGGGCTGTAGAGCGGAAGGAATTCGGCAGAGCTGGTGTGAATCAGCTCCACCGAACGGAAATCCGCACCACTTCAATCTCGGCCCTCCAAAAGTCAATGACTCACGAACGAGTCTGGAGCCACTACTATCGATAGGATGCCTCTCCCTATAGCCTGTTGCGGGCTGGATTGGATTGGCCTGGGCCGATGCACACCTCAAAGCTCCAACCCCGAAGCCTAAACCACTTAACCCCCAAAACTCCACCTCCAAACCCGTCCAGAAGAATGACGAGTAGCAGTAGCAGTAGCAGCAGCAGCAGCAGCAGTAGCAGTAGCAGTAGCAGTAGCAGTAGCAGTAGCAGTAGCAGTAGCAGTAGCAGTAGCAGTAGCAGTACAGTAGCAGTAGCAGTAGCAGTAGCAGTAGCAGTAGCAGTAGCAGTAGCAGTAGCAGTAGCAGGCAGCAGTAGCAGTAGTAGTAGTAGTAGTAGTAGTAGTAGTAGTAGCAGTAGCAGTAGTAGTAGTAAGTAGTAGTAGTAGTAGTAGTAGTAGTAGTAGTAGTAGTAGTAGTAGTAGTAGTAGTAGTAGTAGTAGTAGTAGTAGTAGTAGTAGTAGTAGTAGTAGTAGTAGTAGTAGTAGTAGTAGTAGTAGTAGTAGTAGTAGTAGTAGTAGTAGTAGTAGTAGTAGTAGTAGTAGTAGTAGTAGTAGTGGTAGTAGCACTAATTGAATACCCGACCCTAAAATCCTGTTCGAATCACTACGGCCCATGGCGTGTATGAGCGTCAGGGGTCCCCGCTCTGCAATCCTTAATTAATTAAGATCCCTCTGTTGCATCCCAGGCCTCGCACACAAGAGCTCGAAGGAAAGGTTTAGGGTTTACGGTTTGTAGGGCATGACAGGCCTCGCGTGCAAGGAGCTCGAAGTACTTTTGGTGCAGCTCGGTGGAGTCCGGCCCATCAAAGATCTCAGAGACGGTGAGTTTGGGGCTTCCTTGAGGCCTACTTTAAGGGATCTGGAAGAATTAAATGAGTAGTTGTACGTTCTCGAATATATTTCGTAGTACAAGACTCCACATAACCCCACTTTAGCCATGTAGGCATCTATGTTACGGTAAGGGTCTGGGGCGGTCTGGGGGTTTCGGCTTTAGGGGCTGCGGCTTAGGGTTCTAGACTGAACAACCTCCATGTAGGGCCATGCTCGAATGTCGAGCGTTGCAGATGCTTTCAGAGCCGAAGGAAAACTAGCGCTCTGCAGGTGGACTTGCGCAGAAAATACCAAAACAGCATAAACATCTAGCCATAGCCTCATACGGAGGATCGCAAGAGTCCGCCGGAATCGTTGGGGGCTGCGCAACATCTCCGTTCGGACACCTGGGAATTCGCGCATTCTCTTGGCTTTCGGTTCCGGAGCTCATTTCCGCTCGGTTTTTGCTGCAGTCGGTTTCAGAAATTTTTCGTCTTTGTGCACACACAGTGGAGCTGACAGCTCTCTGGCCGGACTAACGTGCAAAGGATCGCTTGCGAGGCAAAAGTCTATCCAAAGTGCTTGCTTCATGACCGTCCTTCATATGAGAAACCCCAATACCTGGATTCCTGTATCCTCCCACGCAATCGCCCTGTTGTCGTGAGTGGAGGTGGTGGAGGTGGTGGTGGTGGTGGAGGTGGTGGCGGTGGTGGTGGTGGTGCTGGCGGTTGAGTTGGTGGAGGTGGAAGCGGTGGCGGTGGCGGTGGTGATGGTGGTGGTGGGGGTGGCGGTGGCGGAAGTAACATGATGTTGATAATGACGACAATCACGATGACGAACCAGACGAGATTCTGTTCTGATATTTAGTGATGTTTGCGTGTGCTGGTGGTCTGTCTACTTTGTCGTGTCTCCGGGCGCATGAAGACAACATCAACCACTCAATGACAAAGAATGGATCAGTGTCACAACACACGCAAGACAAGCACAGGTCTTCTTGGTAGGGCACTTCTGGTTGGCAAGCCGCGTCGTTTCCGCAATGCCAGGGGCCTCAAGCGCGAACGTCGCTCTCTCCATGCTTCAACAGTTGACATGGTCGAGGGTGGGGGGGGTATGACATCAGTTATGGATTTGTTGCCGAGCCTTGCAGTTAGCGTTCGTCTGCAGGCACACCTGCGCCTCTCAAACCAAGACCTTCCTTGAGCAATCTTTCATATGCAGACAGGAAAGAAAGGAAACTACACAAGCCTGAGCTGAACACCTCTATGCCAGTCGCGTCTAAGTCCACATGCAAGCGAAGCCTGTGGATCCTGGAGTGCCCTGTCTTCTCATCGAGTCCCAACCCATTCTATGCAGCTAACTGTCAGGAGATTGTAAGTAAGACTGAAGGCGAAGACACAAGCACTGCAGACAAACATATATGTATATATACACACATAAACATATTTACTTGTTAATAAATGCACTCATACATATATTCATTCGTTCATGCACACACACACATAATTACATACATACGTGCGCACCTACCTACCTACCATCCATCCTTCCATCCATACATATATGTACGCGCACAGACATATACATAGATAAGGATATAGACCTTCGGATATAGATACAGATAAAGATCTATGCGAGAAGTGTAAAAAATCGAAGACGTAATAAATCAAGTCACATACTCCTTATGGCTTATGGATTTCATCCTTCTGCTGAATTAGTAAGCTGATGGGACTTCTGCCCACAATCCCTGACGCGTCTTTTGTCTGCACTCGGCCAAAAGCCGCGGCATGCAGTATCCCTCTTCCATTGGAACAGCGGCAAGGCGCCACAACGCCTGCACGCCAAGCACATACAGTACCTAAATCGGAAAGCCTTTTGCGGCCGCGCTACGCGGAGACGGAAAGTGCAGAGATATCGAAAACCAGCCAACGCGATTGAAGAACAGTTGGGATGGGTGTCACATGCCAGGAAAATCCAGGAAGCAAGACTTGCTGTGTGGTTTCTGGTTTCTGTAATCTAATCATCGAGGTCGGCAGAGGCAACGGTGACTTGGGGGGTTGATGTGAGTGATCTCGGCCCAAGCCGGGGCTCACAGCACAGGGACTGATCAACACCCATAAATCACAAAAGGCAGCGTCACGCGGCTGTTCTGCAAAACATCATCCAAAAGCTTTCACCTCAAATCCTCGCGTATGCGCCCTTCAAACCTTGCGAGAAAAGCCGAGTCGGACCTCGAGAGATTACGCCTTCCTCTTCTCGTACAGGCAGGTGTGCTGCTTGGAACTGGGCGGTGCGGGGGCGGTCCGGATGGGTGATTGATTTTCAGGAGCGAAGGGTTGGGTCAGGTCAGGAAACTCTCCGCAACTCACAAGCTTTTCAAATGCTGCTGGTGTTGCACTGATACCAGAGAACCCAGAAGGACTCGAATAGAAACGAACAGATCCTGGCCACCAGAGCTGGGGCGAGGGGCTCCAGCAAGGAGTCCGCAGTGATGTTCCACTTCGCATCCACCAGCATGAAATTCACAGTGTCGCCTCCGCTGCTGAGCTTCTCTGCTAGTAGCCCAAACCCTAAACCTCATCATAGTACTTTGCTGTAAACCTCCATGTCCAAGAACCCCAAACCCCAAAGGCTCCAAAACCCCGGAAGCAACCAGCGATGCCAGTTTTTGAGCATCTCGGGGCTCGGCACTTGTCATCTGAGATGCCCCAGCAAGCCGGGCCCATCCTGTCGGTGCTCAGGCTTAGGGTTTAGGGTGGGTGGATTGTTGGATTTTTTTTGTGTTGGTCCTTTTCTTTGTTGAGGGTTTTTGGGTCTGTCACGATAAGGCGTGCAAGAACATCTTGTACGAGGCCTGCAGGAGCCTGCGCTTGTCTGGGAGGAGCAAGGCCCTTCCTAGCTGGCAGGGTGGGAATTGCAAGAGAAGATGCCACCTCACAACAGACCGAACTCCGGAAACGAATCCTGGATCGAGAAATGTTAGCCTAAAGCCTATTGGGGTTTAGGGTTTAGGGTCCCCAACATGTAACCCTAAACCCAGCCACAATTGAAAGTCCCTGCGCCCGAGCCCCAGCCCCGGCCTGAGACAAGCCATGCGAGCTTCCTCCATGGTCTGGTAGGTCGTGTGACGCAGGAGCTTCCTGATTCTAGGGTTGCAGGGTCCACAGTTTATACACTATATTACATCTCTCTCTCTCTCTCTCTCTCTCTCTCTCTCTCTCTCTCTCTCTGTATATATATATATATATATATATATATATATTTATGTATACATATACCATATAATTACTCTATCTATCTATCTTTCGATATACTATAATTACTATACAAAGCAATACGATACGGTACGATACTATACTATGCCATACGATACTACACTACACTACACTATATACGATATACTACATGACTATATGTACTAATGTACTACATAATGACGTTCGGCCTTCTCGCTCGAAGCGCAAGCTGTTGACTGGTGTTTAAGCCAAGCAAATTGATGCTACGGCTAAGAGTGATTTTGCAGTGTTCATGGTCTGCGTTGCGTGTGTCCGGGAAAGTCACCAGAACTCTGTTCCGGGAGAAAGTGAGCAGCAAGATGACAAAACGCACAAGGAGATGAGGTAGCTCTGCTAAGACTTTGCTGCTTCTCTAAAGTGTCTGGGCCTGAGGCCAGAGAGATCTGAAGATTAAGAACCACCCTTACGCATCTTGTTCGTAATCTTGTGTGGATTTGGGCCTCAGGCGCTGTGGTCCCTGTCAGACAAGAAGCACCAAAATCATCAGTAACGGAATACTGACTGGTGATTACTGTATGTAGAGGAGCAAGAACCAAAGAATCGCGGCGAGTGATAATTCCAAATTCATTGCTGGTTACTGGCGGCTTCGTACTAAACCTCGAGCCAGGCTGCGTCGACGTAAGATACTTGTCATTGATGACATTGTACTCGTCCTCGCGGCAGGATGAAGGTGAAGAGCATTCATTGCCGGATCGGAGGCAGCCATACTGATGTTTGAGGTTTCAGGGCTTCAAGATCGCTTCGGCACCAGGGTTTAGGGTGGCTGCGGGTTCAGGGTTCAGGGCTGAGGGTTGAGGATTTAGGGTTTAGGGGTGGTCGGCTTTGAAACAGACACCCTGTCCAGATAGCCGTCGCACTGGACTCGCTTGGCGGTCAGAACCTGCATGTGCAACAACTGCCATGTGCTACTTCCAGCGTGGAATCGTCACTTGGGCGAATGTTGTGCAATATCAGGCCATGGGCTAAACAGTGCTGGGTCCAGCTGGGGCGTTGTTCTTCTCTTGTATCTTGTTCTCCAACCCACGTACTCCAAGCGTGGGGGGATGCAATCGTACACAGGAACGGAAAGTTGAAATGGAGATGATAGTGATAGCGGATGGGAGTGCGTACATGCTGAGACGAAACTCAGCAATACACTCGTCAAGGGAGCCCATCCTACAAACATCCGCTGTGTTGTTGCTTGCATGGCCCTTTCAAGTCTTTTGATAAACGTCTTGCAACACCGCATGAGCCAACGTTTGGGACGAATTAGGCTTTTCAGTTTCGGAGATTTGAGAAAGGACCACTGATTGTTTGTAGCTTTACACCCGCGTGCTCGCTGATACACTCTGGAGCACTGAAGGCTCTAAGGCTTCGGCCAGAGGTATGTAGCTCGGGTGGCTCTTCGGCTAGAGGCCGCTTAGGTTTACAGGATGTACGAAATTTTTCACTGGAGAACTCACAGTGAGGAGTCAGGAGCCTGCTTCAGCGCCGCACTCAATGTCTTCACTAAACATTGAAACCTACTCACATGAAGGCACAGGCCAGCAGCCGACGATTTAAGTCCGCCCTTGAAAAAGCTCGGTTGCAGATGCTCCCAAGCACTCATCATCCCTGAAGCCTCTATGGGTTTAGGGCATTTTTACTTGATTGAATCCCCAAGTACCCAGGGTCGAGCAAGCTCGAATCAGCGCTTGGACTTCTTGGGTTCTGGGCCTTGTTCGTCTCTTGACCACAGCAGACACCTGTGCCCATGGCCTGGCCGATCCTGGAGAGCAAGTCAGGAAACGGGTTTAGTGTTCGGTGTCCATAACATGTGCATACCCACCCACACATAAGGTCTATATATATATATATATATACGCATGTATGTGTATACAGAAAGGGCTGTTATCAGACAGCCTGCACTCTCCTTGGAAGCATGCTTAATCACAAGCTGTCGAAAAATGCATGTTGCTCGGAGTTGCACACGTCGTTGGATGAGCAGTAGAATTGTTGGGACGTTGTTGCCAATGCTGCACACACAGGAGAGGGAACGGCATGCAGAAGTGAGGAGTCATGGGCACCTAGCCAAGTACTCGGAGTTCTTGATATAGGATTCTTCACTAATTCCCCACTGTCAAGATCCATCTGCTGATCCTGCAGCACTTCTTAGGGGGAGTGACAGCTCTTCCCCAGATGTGCCTGTTTTTCAGCACCCGGACGCCGTTGGTGATGCCTGAGAGCTCGCATCCGTTTGTCAGCGTCTTAGGGTTTAGGAAGTTTAGGGTTTGTAGGGTTTAAGGTTTAGGGTATAGGGTTATTAGGGTTTAGGAACCTGATCCCTTGTTTTCTGTCTGCACAGATTGCTTTGGGGACGTTAGGGTTTTTCTGTCCGAGGCAGACTTCGGAAGTTCCGCCCAAGCTGTTTCGGAGCCGTGGACCTGCGGCATGAAGCGACCAAGCACAAATCCAATATGTACAATATATATATATATATATATATACATATATATATATATATATACATATATGATACACTTCTTACACATACATATATACGTATATGTCTGTATGCATATAGATTCATGTATATATATATATATATATGTATACAGGCATACAGTTGTAATCTCAATCTCAAGCTCGGAATGCCGTCGTGTCCACAGTCCCTCTAAAACCATGCATTAACTAGCGAGCCTTTTCCGTCAGGATTCTCTAGCTGGAGTCTCTAGTCACGGGAGTTTACCATTCTCACATTTAAAGAACCCTCAGCCGAAACCCATGTCCAAACCC